CACTTACCGCAAAGGATTGATCGATGATATCGTTGAGAGAGATACAAGGAGGAAGAGAGAGAAAGAGAAATACAGGAAGGATCGATCGATGATATCACTCAACGCCGTCGTCTGCCTTCCTTACAGTCGCGAGAGAGAGAGCGAGAGATGGGGATTTTTGTGGTTCAAAAATTAAGGATTTGAGATATGGGTATTTTTGGTTGAGGGGGAAAAATGAGCGCCAATCAGATTTTGAGTTTTTTTTTTTTTTTTTTGCAACATCAAGTATAACCATCACAAATGAAAATTTAAGGTAGCGTTTGGTAACGTTTACGTTTTTTGTTTATGCTTACAAAAATTTTATAAATTGGTTTTTGTTTATTTTTAGAAAAACATAAATTACAAACGCGTTTGGTTTAAACAAAATGTTTTAAAAAATTTTAAAACATAAACTAAAAAACATGTTTGTCTAGGCCTAAAATATTTATATTTTTTTATTATTATTATTTATGACGATGGGATCATACACATTATAATTGAAAAAAAAAATTAATTGAAAAAAAATAATTGGAAAAAAATATTTGAAAAAAAAATATTTGAAAAGAGATGAGAGAGATAAAGAAAAGAGATAGAGAAGAGAGATGAGTGAAAGAGAGAGAGAGAGAAGAGAAATGAGCGAGAGACACAGAGAAAAAGAGACAGAAAGAAAGAGAGACCCATTTCATTTTTTTATTTTTTCCTCTTTCAACAACAATGGGCTCAGAGAAAGAGATGAGTGTAATTGAGAGAAATAAACGATGGAGAGAGAAAAGAGATGAGTAAGAGAGAGAGAGAGAGAGAGAAAGAAAAAAAGCGAGAGATAAACAAGATGAGCGAGAGATAGACACAGAGAGAGAGAGTGTGTGTGAAAGAAAGACAACAAAAGGAGATGAATAAGAGATATAGAGAGAGTGAGAGGGAGAAGAAAGATAAGCAAGAGAGATAGAGAGAGCCAGAGAGAAGAGTGATGAGTGACAGAGAGAGAGGGGAAAAAAAAAGAGAAACAAGATGAGCAAGAGATAGACACACACACACACACAGAGAAAAACAACAAAAAGAAATGAACAAGAAATGGAGAGAGAGACATAGAGAGAGAGAGAGAGAGAAAGAAAACAAAAAGAAATGAACAAGAGATAAAGAGAGAGACATAAAGAGAGAGAGAGAGAGAGAAGAAAGATGAACAAGAGAGATAAAGAGTGGAGAGAGATAAGAGAGCCAGAGAGAAGAGTGATGAGTGAGAGAGAGGGAAAAAATAGCGAGAGAAGAGAGAGATAGAGAGAAGAGAGATGAGGGAGAGATGAGAGATGGGCGAGAGAGATAGAGAGAAGAGAGATGAACGAAAGAAACAGAGAGAGAAAAGAGATAGATAAGTGAAAGACACACACAGAAAGAGAAAGAGAGACAGATAGACAGACAAACAGACAGACAGACAGAGAAGAGTGATGAGTGAGAGAGAGAAAGAGAAGAGAGAGAAAGAGAAAAGAGAGAGGAAGATGAAAAAATTGGTGAAAAGAGATAAACAAAGAGAGAGAGAGAGAGAGAGCGAAAAGAGATAAATGAGAGAGAGACAGAGAGAGATGAGCAAGAGAGCGAGAGAGATAAAGAGAAGATAGATGAGAGAGATAGAGAGAAGAGAGATGAGAGATGGGCGAGAGACACAGAGAGAAAGACAGACAGACAGGTAGAGAAGAGTGATGAGTGAGAGAGAGAAAAAGAAGAGAGAGAAAGACAGAGACACAGAGAGAAAGAGACAGACAGACAGAGAAAAGTGATGAGTGGGAGAGAGAAAGAGAAGAGAGACAAAGACAGAGACACAGAGATCAAGAGAGAGACAGATAGACAGAGAAGAGTGATGAGTGAGAGAGAGAAAGAGAAGAGAGACAAAGACACATAGAGAAAGAGAGAGACAGACAGACAGAGAAGAGTGATGAGTGAGAGAGAAAGAGAAGAGAGACAGAGACAGAGACAGAGACAGAGAGATAAGAAGATGAAAAAATGTGTAAAAAGAGAAATGTTCAAAAGAGTAAGACGACGTCGTTTTTTTTTTTTTTTGTGACAGAAAAATACCATTGCATTTATTTAAACCATTTTGTGACTATATAGTTTCTTTTTTAGTTATTTTTCATTTAATACAGGTAATTTTCATATTTTTAATATTTTTATAACTCTTTTTTTTTTTTGCGACATCAGCTGGTGTAGTCACAAAAACTCTATTTTTTTGCGACAGCAATCTCTCCCGTCACAAATACTCTCTTTTTTTTTTGCGACAACAATTTCTACCGTCGCAAGTACTCTCCTTTTTCGTGACAACATTTTATGCCGTCACAAATATTCTATTTTTTGTGACGGCAAGTTGTGCCGTCTCAAAAAGTCACATTTTTTGACGACGGCAAATTGTGCTATCGCAAAAAGTCATTTTTTGCGACGACAAATGTGACATTGCAAAAAGTTCCGTCTTTTAAATCTCCTTTTGTTGTAGTGTTTTAAATTAAAATATTAAGATGTATAAAATATATAAAACATTAAGTATGTGTAAAATATATAAAAATGCTTCATTTAAATATTAAGTTGTATAAAGTGATAGTTTAAAAAAAGTTTCGTATTACAATATTGAACCACGTGAAATAAAATTTTAAAATTTTTACAAAAATAACAACAATGATTCATCCCCCTTTTCCCCCACCCACTTTGACCCCCTCTCTCTCTCATTGGTTACATTTTCTTTTTCTTTTTCTTTTTTTCATACTCCTCCAATCACCACCCGCCACGTGACAAAGGGGATGAAGGGGTGACCCCCAAAAGAGGGTCCCAAGCATTATTCCAAAAATAATTGTTTAAAAGAAGTTTCATATTCCAATTTTAAAACGACACGAAATTAAATTTTTAAGACTAGCAAATGATCACATCACTATGACATAATGGAAGTTGCGTATAAATCAATCTAAAAAATTAGAAAGATTTATATTATTTTTTTATTTTTTTAATGGAGAGGACATAATTTATAAATTAAAAAAAGAAAGAAAGAAAATACAATAGTGTTAAGATTTATAAGAGAAATTCAAACACCTTCAAATATCAAACACTTTAAAATAACCAAACATTTTGAAAAATCATAATAATATTATTACAATATTAATTGGTTGTTTTATTTCTTCACCTTAAATAATAATAATATTACAATATTAGTTCGGTGTTTTATTTGTTCATCTTTTAATTACAAAATGGTTTCTACATACATATACATAACAAAAGTGAAACAAATTGGTGAATTACATATTTAGTAATGAGTCTAATCATGTGATATAGATTACAATTATTTTATATAATTGTTTCAATCTAGTTGCCGAATTTTAATACTTAAACATAAATATAAATGTCCCGTCATATGTAAGAATTCATACATTATTTTCTTGAATTGATAAAAAAAAAATCACATATAAACGACACAGAATATGGTTATAAAAAAAAATATTTATTATATACATATATATTGTCTAATAATATTAATTTCTTCCACAATTATTTTATTTAACTAAACACTACCTAAAAGTGTAAAAATATATCAACGATCAAATATTCAAAGATTCAAATACTTTTGAGTTTGTATACTTTTAAACATAAATATTAAAAATTAACGAAAAAAAAAAAAAACAAAACAAAATGGCTAAAAAGGTAAAACTATAACAAAACCTAAAAACCCAAAAAATAATAATAATAATAATAATAATAAAAATAATAATAATCACATAAAGAAATATAAGAAAAATTACCAAGTGCAAAGCACGTGCATCACCACTCTTATATATATAAGAGTGAGAAAATGAAATTGGATGATATTAGCATAACTTTAATCTATCTTTTAGTTGTATTGTATTGTATCAAGATTAGATTCATAGTCATTGAGTTGCGCAAATCCACAACTCTAGCCTAATACCAAAGTAACTTGAGGACTATAGTAGCCTAAAAGAATTGGTAGAGCCTCGTCAACAATCAATTTTTCTACATTTTCTTTTGTTGGGATTTGTTTAGAGCTTTTGACAATGTATTAATCAGTTGATATCAGTCTTTTTGGCACAAGAATTCCAAGAGTGTCCATGTCAATTTTTCAATGTAGGTGGCCATCATTTTCTTTGCACATATTGATCTTCATTTATTTAATTTATTTTTTTTAGCAGCTGCACTAAATTTAGTCCGTTATCGATTGTTCTGAAGTGTTGCGAGTTCTCCACCTCTCTAAGTTTTTATTTTTCTCGTTTCAGTCCCACAATAGGTAGTTTTGTATTATTTGTTATGAATTGATAAATTTTGAAATTGCAATGTAGATATTGATTCTTAAACATTCTTTCAAATCTTGTGCATATTTGAGCAAGCTAAAAGCAAATTTTATTGAACACGACGTTCTCTCTTTGTTATGAAGTAAAATGAACCAAACTATTTGAGTTGGCGTTAATATTTTGTTTTACATCTACTCATTATATAAACGTGTTAATATTCAACATATTTTCGAGTTCATTATGTTTCTAAACTAAATTTGAACAACACACTGTACTTGGTACGATAATTTTTCATGCACTTAAAAAGCCAAGCTACCTAAGCTCTGTTTGTCATCAGGTCAATTTAAAATTCTTTTGGAATTGGTTTGAATGATAAACATATCTATCTTAAACACAAACATTTTAAAGAAAAAAAAAAATTCAAATGATAAATTAGTACATCTACTCATTATATAAACGTGTTAATATTCAACATATTTTCGAGTTCATTATGTTTCTAAACTAAATTTGAACAACACATTGTACTTGGTACGATAATTTTTCATGCACTTAAAAAGCCAAGCTACCTAAGCTCTGTTTGTCATCAGGTCAATTTAAAACTCTTTTGGAATTGGTTTGAATGATAAACATATCTATCTTAAACACAAACATTTTAAAGAAAAAAAAATTTCAAATGATAAATTAGAAGCCCAAAAACATCTCAGAATATATAAATAGATGTTTTATTACTTTAAATATGAAAAAACCACTAAACTGATAGAGGATAATCTGGCTACTTATCCATGATGATAACAATATATACTATAATATTAACAGTTCATAACATCATAGTCAAGCTACTGAAGTAAACAGGTCACTTTAGGGTTATTGGATGTGTTAGATGTTCCGTGAGCATTAATGCAAGTGGATTGAATAATTGTTCCCGGCTTCATATCAGGCGCTGGCATTATGTTGATCTGATTCAATGCAATGTCGGTACAAGGTACCTTTGAATTGCATTTGAGTTGGATTGCATCTACTGTATTAGTTGTTCCACGAAATCCAGTAAATGAGACACTGCTGATTCCTAATGTCGATGTCTGTCATCAAAGTTTTGTTAAACAAATATCAATTTCATCATTTGTAAATTTAAAAAAAAATGATAAACAATAATAACAAATGTACATAACCATATAAGGTATCGATAATAATGTATATGCTAATCCAATGTATATACTCTTACTTGATTTTTGCAAGTGTTATGTGGGCAGTAATACTGGTCGATCAATATAGGGTTGCCTGTTTCAATAAGTATAATTTCAGCGAAAGTAATTATCTTAGCATATCCGGACCCGCCCTAAGAGACACACAAAAAATAAACATATGAATTTGAGAAAAGGAATAGTGAACAAAATATATGATTAAGGCAAATAAAGTCAAATTAAATTAATTTCTTAACTCGGTTTGAGTTTCTTACTTGCCATGTCTTGATCCTTGCCCCATTTTGAGTTCCATTGAAGGTACAGTTGTTCACATGTAGTTCTTCCACTGTAGTTCTACTTCCATTGATTCCCAAGCTTCCAATGCTACAAACGAAAGAAAAGAAATATATATTTTTTCAAAAAACAACTCATTGGAACTTAATTATGAAATTTTATGCATAATTTTCTCGTAAAATTATGTAGTGGAGGCAATTTTGTAATTAAAGTTCATTTTAATGAGAATTTTGACCTTATTCCATGACCTGGACCGCAATTTACGCCAGTAATATTGATAAATTTGCAACCATCAGTCATAGCAATGCAGTCATCACCTACAATTATTGCAATTTTTTTTGACAAAATTCATAGAAGTAAATATGTAGTAATCAACAAACATCAAATGAAAAACTACTAAAAAGACCAAATAAAAAGTTTTAGAAAAATAAAATACCAGTTCCAATGTAAGAATCGTGAATCTGAATACGAGTGGAATTGTTGATGTCAATGCCATCGGTGTTAGGGCTAGTTTTAGGTGCAGTTATATGAATGCTTGAGATGGTGGCAACTTCGCAGTTGGTAATCGAAATGTGGTTATCAGCGCTATCGACATGCGTCAATCCACTTAGCTGAAGGTTGTTACATCGATTGAACGTCAAAGCCTGACAATAAAAATTGTAAACATCATTAATTTAACAACAATATGTGCTTCTAATACATGATTATAGCAATTTAATCTGATTTTTCAAGATACCCACCATGTAGTGTTTTCTTAAACTCAAAGAGAATTTTTAAACTTGTTTCAAAAATAAAAAATAAAAATTGGATTTAGGATCAAAGACATAGATTTATTATTTTATTAAAAAAAATTAACTTTTTATTTTTATTTCTTATATGCATGCTTTGATGAGTATGAGCCAATAAAGAATATAAATTGCCAAAGAGTAAAAATAGAGATTTTTACTTACAGCAGGCCTCTTCTTGCAATCTGTTTCCTGTAGATGAAAATTGAGAACATATGTAAGAGATTTTTCAAATGAGTAATGACGTACAAACAAAAATTCTATATAAAAATTTATACAACAATGATATGGTAAAATTAAACGTGAGATAATTATTGAAATATCAAGTATAATCCAAACAATTTTGAATGTTTTAGAACAAAGGAACAAGGATTTGAGACATATAGATAATCTCGTGCCATGCATGAGTTTAATTAGGATTAGATGAAATTAATAAGTAACATTGTATTTGGATTGAGGGTTTGGTGGGAAAAGAAAAGATTCAAAGAGAATGAGATATTTTTTATCACCCCTTGTTTGTATAATTAATAAGGTGAGTAATTACAAGAAAGAAAAAAAAAATGGTGATAAAAACAAATAACTCCAAACATAAATCTTATTTTTCACCAAAAGTTATAAGATTTATTGAAAAACTAAAATAACTCGTTACAAAAAAGAAAAAAAAAACACAGACACATGTATCCTCCTCTTTTAATCATTGTCCATCCAAATAAAAAGTGAGAAATTGCAATAATACTTTTTTAAAAAAAATTTCTAACCAAGATGAGAAACTCCAATTATTATTATTATTATTTTATCTCACATCCAAACAGAACCCACCTTTGGACAGGAATCCCACCAAGATTTTCCAGTACCATCAATTTTTCCAGTTCCACTAACAATAAGCCCATCAACCTTTGAGAAAACAAGCCAAGTATGAGAGTTAATATCACCAAAATTCATCATGTCTGGTGCTTTAATGTCACCCCAAACCTGTATTTCATCAATGAAAAAAAGAAAAAGAAAAAGAAAATTGCATTACAATCACAGTAGAATTGTTGGGTGTTTTAAAGTCATCAAAAGAAAAGAATATTAATGCAAAAATAAATCACACAAACACAATAAATGTGGGACTTGCATGCAGTGTGTCTCTGGGGGCGTTTAGTGGTGCTTTTTTTAGCCAACTTATGGCTTCTGGCTTTTAAAAAGTTATTTTGGACTGTTTGGTTAAATTTATTTCAAATAGTTTCTGATTCTAACAATTTATTTTAAGTCAAAAAAGCTGATTCTGAGAAGCTGCTCACCCCTTGCTTCTGATTATCAACTTCTGCTGTGGACATGTTAATTTACGGTTATACTCTTAAATTTTTTTATTTTTTATTTTTTTTAAAAATAGAAAAAAACCCAAATGGAATGCAAAAATAAATCACACAAACACAATAAATGTGGGACTTGCATGCAGTGTGTCTCTGGGGGTGTTTGGTGGTGCTTTTTTGAGCCAACTTATGGCTTCTGGCTTTTAAAAAGTTATTTTGGACTGTTTGGTTAAATTTATTTCAAATAGTTTCTGATTCTAACAATTTATTTTAAGTCAAAAAAGCTGATTCTGAAAAGCTGCTCACCATTTGCTTCTGATTATCAACTTCTGCTGTGAACATGTTAATTTACGGTTATACTCTTAAATTTTTTTATTTTTTATTTTTTTTAAAAATAGAAAAAGACCCAAATGGACTATAAAATATTATTATTATTTTTTTGAGAAATGTAGACAAATAGTGAATAATAAAAAATAAAAATTAATTGAAAAAGTTACTTCACAGCTTATTTAACAAACATTACTCAGTAACTTTTATCTATAATCCAACAACTATACCAAACAGATTAACAGTTTCAGATTAAAGTCATAATCTATAATCTGTTAAGTTATAATCTGTTTAACAGTTACACCATACAGCACCTCTATTTGGTTACTATTAAAAAAGCTTCTTTTTTTTCTGTCTATTCAAACCAAAAGGGAAAAAAAATTGGACAAGAGATCGTTACTGAAAAAACATGCTAATTTAGATGACAAGATTATAAAAAATAAAATAAAATAAAAATAAAAGAGTTGCTTTTTTAACAAGACACATTACCTTTGGCAAGTGCTTAACGGTTATTTTTTATTTTTATTTTTAGTTTTAGTGAAAATTTGTAAGTTATTATTATTATTATTATTTAAATTTCAAGTACTTTTAATTTTGAAAGATCTAAAAAGGGTATTTTAAACACCAAAGTCACAATTCCATACCCCAGCCCAGCTTTTCAATAACAAAATGTAACGTTTTTACCAATAACTTTATCTTAAAAAATTATTAAAAAAAGGAAAAAGAAAAAAAACTATTAAAAACGTAATTGTTAAACCAGCCATGTGTCTCATCCTATGAGTTTCTGTACTACTGATTGAAATTAAGGAAAAAAATATCAAAAAAATTGCAATATAAAGTATACACATATATATAAATGTATTAAACATAAATAAAATGAAAATCATGAGTTTTAATAAATAAATACCTGGACATTGATGGAAGAGGAAAAGCATGGACCTTCAAATTGGACCGGTTGCTTCACCAAGAACGTCTTGTTTCCAGGTATGATCATACTAGGACCATTCGATGTTGATCCACAAGTTGCACTCCATGCCTTCAAAAATGCCTTTTGTTTTTGGAAAATTAAAATAATTAAGACGTTACTAATCCATAAAATAGGATAAAAAATAAAAAATATTTGAAAACCAACACCCCCGAAGCCAACTCTATGACCCAGGAGAGTTCTACGTGGATGGAATTATTTTTTCCAAACTAGATCATTTAAATCACTTAGAGTAGGCATGTGGAACGTTAAAACATAGTTGTATTTTATAAAACACACAATTCAAAACAGTTTTTTAAAATTTTGTCACATAATTTTGATTTTCAAAAATATTACTTGAACGAATAAATATATCATCATAACTGCTAATCAGTTTTTATAACCAATTAATATTTTTCATTTTGATTTTCAAAAATATTACTTGAATGAATAAACATATCATCATAACTGCTAATCAGTTTTTATAACTAATTAATATTTTTCATTCAGCGAACAATTCAAAAATTCACATATAAAATTGCACGTGTATAATATGTATACCACCAAATCCATATGAACAACAATGATTTAGAGTTCTAAATAAGGAGCACTAAATCCACCACTAGTGAGGTGGAAATTGAAAAAAAAAAAAAAAAAAAAAGGCATAACATACACTGTGGCAGTGGGTGGGACTCACTACCACATCATTAATGGTGGCTCTAATTAGAGCTCCCAAACATTTTTGTCCATATGAAACCACCATCATCAGTCATGGTCATAAATAAAAGTTATTTTTTTCTGATCAAAATAAAAAATTAATAATAATAAAACACTTACAAAGTGAGTCCATCTCATCTATTGTACAAGCATTCTAAATTTGATTCTATGACATGATTACAAAAAAAAATTAAAAATTAAAAATTCCTAATAAAATAGGACGCTAAACATTGTGTGGTCATACCTATCAGAGTATTGTTAAGGTCATATGTAATTATGCGGACATTTGGGGGTGAGTTATAAAATGTCAAAAAGTCACTTTATTTATTTATTTTTTTATTTTGATGATCTAGGAACTTCCAAGGTTGAGCCCATTTATGACCCGACCCTACAAACCAAGTCAGGGGAAGATGTCGAGAAACCCACTCTTCACCCCGCAATTTCAGTCAAAGACTATAACAAAGTTGGTATAAGTTTCGAACTCAGAACCTTAGGTCACGCAAGCCGTTATCTTACTAACTCATCCAATCCTTACAGTTAAAGTCACTTATTCTTTTATCATCAGTTAAAAAAAGTCAAATAATACATAAAAATAATTCTCTCACAAAAAATTGTTTTTTGAACGACTTCCCAAACCTCTTTTTAAAGCTTTTTAAAAAGTTGAAAATTTTAAAAATTACTAAAAATAACCAATGCCATATAGATTAAATTTGTGCCATTATTTTACATATTGACTTCATGATATATTTATATATTTTATAAAAAAATTCTCACGAAGTAGAGTGCGGTTCCTCTGCATGGCATCACCATGCAAACTAATGTAAGGGCATGCATGAATGAAAGAGAGTACCTGGGAATCATCAGCACTTCCATCTCCGATAGCTCCAAAATTTAACACATTTATTAAACTTGTTGTTCTAGTTAATTTGAAGCCCATCCAGTCATATGTGTATCCTAGCATAGCTACAATGCCCATGATAACAAAAATAGCACAACGAAAACCCTACATGTATGTAATACAACATAATAATTTAAATCAACAACACATTAAAGTATATAAAATTTTAAAAAGAAATTACTAAAAGCACATATTCAAAACACGTAACAATTTATAGAAAAATATGTAAAACAGACATTTTGGTGAATCATTCGTTCTGAGCGAGGGAGAGACAAGAGAGGAATATCCATGTTGATTTGAAGAAAAAATAGAGAGAGAAAGAGAGTGAAGTAGTGTATTGGACGATGAATGAATTCAAAGTATTTGTGTTGTAAATTGTGTAAAGATATGTGCCATAATGCAAGTATATATAAGCTTGGAAGTGGAAGAATAAAATGGAAATAATAATGTAATTGTTCCTACTTTCCAAAATCATGTTTAAACAGAATCTAGAGTGTGCAACGGACTAATCTTACACATGTGCATTTTAAACAGAATCTAGAGTGTGTAACGTACTAATCTTACACGTGCATTTATGCTATGATATTTAGAAAATTGTCAATGTTAATAATAATGTTAAAAAAAATAAGAAATTGCTTTTTCATGATTACCGAACCCTCTTCGAAGGGTAAATATCATGCTCAATGGTATCTACACAAAAAATTTCTATTGCATTATCATGTTGCACACTGTATTTAGATTTTTTTTTAAAAAAAAAATTGATAAAAAAAGAAAAGAAAATTATATGAACTAAGAAATTTTGTCTTAAAATTAACCCGACAAGTGATGCGTGGTATACATTTAAAGTAAATAGGATTGGGCTTTACCTAGAATGATTGTGGTTTTTTTTTTTTTTTAGATGGTAGATTAACTGTGTATTTGGTTTGGTTTCTACAAACTTGTTTCAGAAAATTTTTCTAAAAAATTTAAAATTAATTTACTGAAATCAATATAAAAAATAAAAAATATTTATCATTTTTATATAATTTTATCTTTTGGAAAGTTTGCAATAACTTTTGTAAAATTTAAAAATATTTTTTATATTTATTTTAATCAAATTAGTTTTATGTTTTTAAAAAAATATATGATTTTTTTTTCTCCAAAAACCAAGCATGGCCGCAGTGGCGGAGCCAGGAATTTAATGTAGGGGGCACCAATTAATTATAATTTCAAAATTTGGTCTCGATCATTAGTATTATAGTCCATAATCCGAGGTCATAGTCCTAGATCTGCAGGAAGGTCTACTAAGGATGATCTAAATAAGTGCATTTTTTGACTTTTTATGAAATATGGGTTGGATTTGGGTTGGATTTGAAATGATGTGTTAGAGAGGTGGTGTGACTTAAATAAGATGATGTGACTTAAATAGAATAATGACTTTTTAACTTTTTAACTTTTTTGAAACTTGCCAAACCAGCCCTAAGTTAATTTATATGCGACTTTATTTTGCGGAAAAATAATTATAATCTTCTTCTTAAGGAAGAGATGATTCTAACTTTGATTTTCTTTTGAAATATTTCTCCATGACTGTTTTAAAAAATAAAAATCAAAATAAAAATTCATAATCAAAATCACAAACCCCCACAAATCAAAATCTCCAATTTTAATATAAATCAAAAAATTTAAATTTAGCACAAATCACAACAAAGAAAATTTCTAATATACTAATATTATAACAAATGAAAGTCCCTAATTTAAATAACAAATACTATAAATTAATATTTTTAATTGTAGAACAAATCAAATCCCTAATTTTAGCACAAACAACAACAAATCAAAATCCCTTACTTTTAATATAAATCACCACCAATTAAGATTCATAATTTTAACATATCAAAATCT